ATTTGGGGGCCCTCTTGAGTTTTGTATAAAGTGCCCCTTTTGGTTCTTTATTTTTTCCAAAACCTAAGCAGCTGGGAAATTAAACACCCTTGAACGTCCCTTTTTTTCCCCTGCCCACTGGAAAACCCGTTTTTTGTCCTTTCCTTCCTTTTTTTTAGTGTCCCCCTACTTACGACTTTTTTATGCTTTTTTTTATGTCCCTCTGCAAATGATACAAAAGTGTGCTGTGTTTTTTTTCTATGCACTATGAGGGTGAGGAACAGCAAAGGGGGCCCCGGGCCCCGTGCCGGGGGACGAGCTTTTGACCCGCGAGCTGGTCTGCCCGTTCACTACACTTTTTGTGTTCGTGTGTTAGGAAACTGAAAAACCATCTGCCTTTCCTTCCCTGTAATGCCCATGGCCTTCATTTTTTGGGGCTATCACTCCAAGGGTTTGCATTTGTAAAAGCCTTTGGGAAAATCTGTGGTTTAAAACACAAACTCGTTTTGGCGTCTTCCCCGGGGCCCTTTGTAATTCCACATAATGGTTCAGCCCTGTTTACAGACATTATCGTCCTGCTCTAAAACCATGCTGGGTTTTGGGGTTTTGTTGGTTTGCTGGTTTCCCTGAAATTTGTAACCTGCCTCTCATCACTCTTTTTGAAAATTTTTAAAGATGTGAAGGTTAGGGCTACTGGTCTAATTTGTAGCAAATGCCCCTTAAATGCCTTCCTTGTGCAAAAGGGGCTATGTCCCGCCCCCTTTAAGGCCTCTGGTATTTCACCTAGATCTAAGCCTTTTTTTCTACAAAAATACTGAGGGGTCGTGCTAGGGTACTTTTCACTTCTTTTTTAAATAGAGCCCTTTTCCCTGAATCTGGTTTTCCCGGTGCTGAGTGAGTGGGCTTGGTTTTTTTCCCTTTCTTTTTTTTGAAATCTATGGGGTTTGTGCTAATGTCAGGTTGGGTTTTTTTTGTGGGCCTTCTTCTGGATGGGAAAAAAAATTTTTTTTGCATTTTTTTACCTGGGGTCCCTTTAAATGGGTTTTCTGAACACCGACTCATACTGGGTTTTTTTAGGATTTCACTCCTTTTCCCTTTCCCAACGGGCATATATATCCCTCTCAGTAGGGGGCCAATTCAAAAAGGTAAATTCTTAGCTTTGGTTTTTTCATAGGGAAAAGAAATATTTTGGGTTTCTTTTCAATACCCGTATGGGCCTTTTTTTTCCCTTTTTACTTCTTCGTAGGTAGGGAAAACCTAAGTTTTGGGGCCCAATTCCCGTGATCTCTCTGCAAATTTTATCTTTCCTCTTTTACATGTTTTGTTTTTAAGGGAAATTCAGTAACCTGTTTTTTTCCTTTTGTACCCTCTCCTACGCCCCTCTCTCTAAATCTGATCCCCCCCTGGGTTTTTCCCCAATGGTACATGTTTCATACAACTTTTATGTTTTCCCGTATTCAGCTTCTCTAGGGACGTGGGGGTTTAGGTTTGCTCAAAAACCCGATTCCCAGGTAAAGTCCTTTATAGCTCTTGGGGTTTTTTTTTTCCCAGTTAAAATTTTATGGGTTTTAAAATTAAAAATTACTGAAAAATCCCTCTCCCAACTTTTGTGAGGGAGTTTTCCAAACCCCCATTTTTACCATTTTAACCCCCCTATGATGTTCGATCAGAAATAAATAGTTTTTGGAAAAATGTTATGTCCCCTGATCATTCCTCGTTTTTTGAAACAAATCCAGGGTATTTTCATTTTTTTTAAATGGGATCAAATACCTGTTGGTTTAAGAGTACTTTTCACAAAACCTCATTATTTCCCCCCGGATGTACCTGTTGAGCCAGGGCTTTCCGGGGATATTTTTGGGATAACATTACTTGTGCCATCTTCCATTTTACAAGAGGGAAATTAAAAACCCAAGGAGTAAAATAAATTTGGGGTAAAGGGCTTTCTAGCCTATCCAAAACGCTAACAACTTACTTTAAAATCTTGAATTCCTCAGCAGTTGCCGAGGTGGGTTTTTTTAAAACTAAATAAATTAAACCAAAAACCCCAATTTCCAAATTTAATGCCTAAATTTTTTACCCATATCCCCTTCATAATTCAGCATTCTGTGCAACAGAAAGTTTCCTTTACATAGATTTTCCCACTCCTCCCTGGACCTACTATTCCATCACATCTAACATGTTTTTAGTTTTCTATCTTTATTTTTTCCGTCCAAAACCACCATTGTTTTGTGTTTTTTTGTAAATGATCCCCAACATGGGGAATTTTTCCCTTTTGCAGGACCCACTAACCTAACAACTTGTCATTTTTATTTGATTTTTAAAAACCCTGTATATTTGCAAATTTTGAACAAGGGAAATTAAACCCAAATGGGGGTTTTTGCCCCCCCTTTTTTGTTTTTAAATTTTTTACCCCCTGGGGGTTAAAAAAAAACCTGGTAGGTTCCCCCGGTGTACCCCTCCCCCGGGTTTTTCCCCCTACTGGCTTTGCATTTGTTTGCTTATTCGGGCCTGAGGGCCCCCCTGTCCTCTCTAACATTTTTCCCCCCCTTTTTTCTCTTCCTTTTTTTGGGTCTTTTCCCCTTTTTGGGCTAAAAAAAGAATGCTGTTCAATTTCCCTTTTCCCCTGCAACCTTATTTCCGCGTTCCTTTTTCATGATGGGCTGGGGACTCAGGTCATAACATTCTCTGGGCTGCGGTTTAAGCTTTTTCACATTACTGGAAGGGGAAAAACAGTGGACCCCAGCCAACGATGGGATCAGCTAACATTAAATCCATAACGATACATTTTAAAAGCCCAAAAAAATTTTCCTCGCTAAAACTAAAAAACTGCCCAACCGATTCGTTTAAGACCGTCCCCATGTGGGCCCGAGCGCGCCTCAGTTTGGCCCGTGGGGGCCAAAAGGGTTTTCAAGCCCAACCATGTGGTCCCCATCCACCCATACAATCGGGAAAATTTCATATTATCCAGCTTTTTTTTGTGACTTACCTGCAAAATAAGTCACCAGGGGCCCCGAGAAAGCTCTAGTGCCAACCCCCTTGTAAAAAGGGGAGAATTAGTAGGAAAATTTCCCCCTTTTGACTTTTTTTCGCGTATAAATACGTTTTACACAATTTTCTGACGAAAATAAACCAAAAATTCACGGCTTAAATCAATGGAAAAGCTTGGGGCCCACATTGAGAGAAGGGGTCGGGGGGTCAGGGGGCACCACATAAAAAAAATCCTGCGCACACTTTGCGTAATGAGAAAAAAAACCTAAACGTTTTTTTAAAAAACGCCGACTTTGAGGTGATTTCGAAAAGTATTTATCGTTGTATCCGGTTTTCATGGCTTAGTTTAAAATGGAAAACATATTACAAAATAGGATGATTTTCATTATTTTTAAAGATGAAAACGACCTTAAACGGCTCAAAGTACGAAATTTTTCGATTTTTACCAATTTCAAGATAAAAAAAATCACACCACACTCCAATCAACGTCAACTGGGGGTCTAAATTCTTTCACTAGTGCCCAATTTTTTTTATCCATTTTTTAAAATAATGCAGTCGCTGCAAAACAGTAAATTTTGTATTTTTTTTTGTATAAAAAAAAAAATCAAATAGAAAGCAATAATAAAAAAGAGGGGCCTAGAGATGTGACTAATGAACAAGCATATTTATTTTATTTCCACGAATTCACCTTTTATTCTGGACCCTATTTTGAATTGGCACTTTTTTTTTTTTTCCGTGAAATTGGCCAAATTTCCAAATTTCTGACCCACCATATTGGGTAGTCCAAATTGTAAAGGGAGGTTTTTTGTGCTCAGCTATAATAAAATGGGGGTTCTAAAGAAATAGCATAGTTTTTTGGGCAACTGGGAAAAAGGGGAAATTTGGGTGAAAATTGGGGTCAAAATCGGGGAAATCGCCGATACCGCACATTCGCCAGACCGTAACTTCGCGGAGCAAATTCCACGAGTTTTTTTGACCAAATTTCGAAAATTTTTGGGTCATTACCATCGGGGAAAAGATTTTTCTTCTTTCAAAAGAAAAAAATTTTTTTTTTAAAAAAAAAAAGAAGGGTTTTTTGGGGGGGAAAAAAAGGGTAAAAAAGTTTGAAGGGTTTGGGCCCCCGAAATTTGGTTTTGTGGTTTGGTATTAAGATTAAGGGAAATGGGAAAGTGGGTTGAATGAATTTATGGTGAAAATATAAAATTATGAAGGGCTGGGTGCAAACGAAATGGGTTTTATTTTTGGAAAATTTAAAAAAGGGGGTAAAATCATTGAAGATTTGTTGTTTGGGCGGGTATGCCTTAGCGGCCCAGTGGGGATTAAAAAAAAGGGGGAAGTCCCCCGGAAAGGACTTGATACCTTAAGTCCTAATGGAAGGGATTTCCCTTCAACTTAACAACTTCCACCTCTTCCCCTCCCCCAACCCTCAATCATCACCAATTTCAATAAGGTAAAATGTCAGTTTGTGGTTTTTAAAAATTAATATTATTGGTAAAAAAAAAAATTTTTTTTTTTTTTTTTTTTTTTTCAACTTTTAGTCTTGCATGAAATAAATTTTTTTTCCTTTTTTTCTTATGGGGGAAAAATTTAAATTTAGCAAACGATGACTTTCAGGAATGGGATTAAAAACTTAGCTGATGGTCCACGAATTTTCACTCTTTTGAAACGCACTTTCCCTTCCTCAAAATGTTTGCACATTTTCTGGTGTGTTATTCCGCAACACTCTCTGCATATAGGCACATATTACCTTTACATAGTAACTGCAAATGTTCGTGACTAACTAATTATTGATTCCGTGTCGTTCCTAAGTTCTGCCACCTGTTTCTGAGTTCCCTTGTTCCACTTTCTTCCTTAGGCTAATTTCTTCCAAATGAAAAGGCAGGGTGTCTCACAATAACACTGTGAGACAACACAGTAAGCTGTCCGACCCAAACTGTTCAGTGCTGCCTCCCGCATATAAAAGGGGGATTACCAATAGACCTACCTACTGTCTGCAATAAGGCACCGGAACAGCGCCTTGAGTCAGTACTGACCTAGCCGGGCTGTAGGTTCGATGTCAGTTTGTGTGCGGCCATCAGTACAGCGTGGTATATCAGACTCCGATCCACCATGAGCTGATCTCAGACCAGGCCACAGGTGGGTCATGACGCCCCAAAACCCTCTCCTTGTTAGGCCAGTGTAATACACCAGGGCAGCATATTACCAGAACAGCTTAAATAATAGAACCAGGATAGTCGAATTATAATATTACCATGATTCCTGATAGCATCATGGTAATATGATAAATTATCATGACAGACTGAAATATCGATGCTGTAATGGCCTGACGAAGCTCCTGGAGAGGAAACACTGCCACAATGAAATGTCACATTAGTTGCACATGTGTCCTTTTATCTAAGCATTTACAAATCCGGCATAAGCTTCTTTCTCCTATGTGTTTGAGTTATTTTGTGTATTACCTTATTGTATTTTTAATTTCATTAAAGTATTGGGCAAGTCACCGAGTTATCCTGATGGCAGGTTCAGGCGACTGATAGAATGAAACTATGGGTTAGCTATGAAATTTAGATTAATTGTTTCAATTAGGATTAGCTAGGTAACATTAGGCTAGGTTTCAGATTTGTAAGTTTATTCAGGTCCAGGTACTGTACATACATAAATAATCATACATAAAGAGCATTTGTGTAGAATTGACCTAGAAGTAAAACCCTATGAAAGTCAGTGACTCATTTCCATTGGGGCTTAGAATTAGGGTAGATTAATTCTTGCTGGTAGTGTTACTAAATTTATATATGGGGGAATTTGTCAAGTAGGAAAATATAATGTTTCTTTCAGGCCAGTCGAAGACTTGAAACATGAGTGAGATCAACTGGACAAGCTAACAGATATTCACTCTTGAAGTATTGTAGCAACATATACAAAGAAGGTTAGTGGTCTAGCATCTAGTTTGCTAAATAAGAAACCACCATTGAACTGCCAATGCTAACATATCAACACAACATATTTTAAATTTGCAGATTTTGTGTTTACCATGTGGAGTACAGCCTCTCTTCATTTAGGCGATGTAACCATTTAGCGACGACTCGGATTTATGAACGAGCTCTCCGGCCCAGTATGCACACGCTAAGTAATGTAGTTTAGAGCTGATTCCTCTATTCTTTTCATGTACAATATCCAGTACACTCCTTATAAACATTTAAAAATAAACCAGAAATGTTATAAATGGTGCAAAGGTGACATAAAAAACAAACAATATTAAACCCATAAATGGCCAAACGTAATATACTTTTTTTTCAACATATGAAGTAGTGTAAAAAAAGTAGATCTTCCTTTTGTTTTTCTCGTGTACACTTAAAATGTGTAAAAAAAACTTTGATCTACTTTTTTTTTTTTTTATATTTGAAATATGTAAAAAAAACGTAGATCCTACTTTTGTAAGCACCTACACATGTGAACGTATATCCAGCTTGGACCGTTTACACGGGTTAAAGATGGTTGCACAAAACCCACTACCAATCATAAATATGCCCCTCACTAAGCGACGAATTTGTTGACTGATGTGGTCTTAAGAATGGAACTCCGTCATTGAGGTGAGGCTGTATATGTTTGTACAGGCGGGCCTCACTTTACAGCCGTTCGACCAGTACAGCATTTTTCAAGGAATACCCATTCTTCATTTATTCAGAGCTATTCCTGCATAAATACAGTGACCCCCACATAATCATACCTCCCAATGCGACCAATCATGTAAGTGTATTTATGTAAGTGCATTTGTACGTGTATGTTTGGGGGTCTGAAATGGACTAATCTACTTCACAATATTCCTTATGGGAACAATTCGGTCAGTACTGGCACCTTAACATACTTGCTGGAATGAAAAAATATCGTTAAACCGGTGGGTCCACTGTATTTCCACCACTCACTATAAGCTAAGATGTAAATATTTTAGATTAAGAATGTGTGTAGTGTAATTCATTTCTGTTAGTCCTATATTGCTCACCTAAGGTATGATAGTGGTAAACAGTTATAAGCTTTGTTTCACTTTACATCAATTTTTTGCTTTACATTGGTAGCCTGGGACCCCTGACCTGCTGATAAGTGGGACCCCTCCTACATAGTAAGTGTATCTAACCTGATTCATAAAGAAGTCAGTACCCCTCTATTGCCGGGGTAGAGGGTATGTAACGGTGTCTCATGGTTGGTTGGTAACACCTCCTCACACACTGAGTATCCGGGGTTCAGTGCCCTGCCAGGTGGAAATGTTGGATGTTTCCTTACACCTCAGGAGGCCTGGTCACAGACCGGGCCGCGGGGGCGTTGACCCCCGGAACTCTCTCCAGGTAAACTCCAGGTCTCCAGGTAAACACCTGCTGTCCCTGTTCACCTAGCAATAAGTAGTTACCTGATGTTAGCAAGACAGGTGGTGGTGGCTGTTATGCAGGGTTCTGCATGACATGTATTGTAATATAAGGTGGATAAGTGTGCCATAATAGCATAACTTTATAATTTATTATAGTTGATTCTGGGGGTGACTGTAAAGTTACTCTAACTGTAATTATAAAAATATCCTGCTAGGTAATTTATTTTCCAACTGTGTTTAGGTACGCAGGGTAAGCGTGGCTGGAGGAGTCACGTGGAGTCAGCATGGCATGGAGGCCTGGACGTCGGAGATGCTGTGTATTTAAGCTAAGTTGTAGTTGTGTACTCCTTTTGAGTTTAGCTAACATAACCATGGCTCTTCTATGGCTTTCCCTGTATGCTCACCTAGGATCTGACATGGTCAGGGTTCGGTGGATTAGTGAGGAAATAAGAAATGTGGTTGGTATGGAGTAGTGCAAGCCTGGCGCTAACTAGCCGGTGTTAAGTTTACTGGACCGCCAGCCGTCTGTTTGCTTTGCCTGTTTATGGTGGTCGTGTTAGGAATGGAGATACACTGAAAGTGTTTTTTCTAGAAGCTGTATAAGTGTTATGTTGAATAAATAGATAAATTTTCCTAACTAGGATTTTAGCCTAACCCTCTAATTAACCAACCCATTGAAGTACAAATGTTTTTTTTAGCACTTTCCTGTTTTACTTTGGGATAAGGCCCTGGTGGCCTGTTTAATATGCGCTTGAGATGAGGTGTTACGTTTACCTTGCCCTTAGACAAGGCTCTAGTCCCCACTATCCCAACTTTCTGCTAACATGGGGCCTGTGTTTGAGAGAATTATCAAATTTTATGTGGTAATTCAAGTTTCAACCTGGAAAGTCATAACCATCTTGACTGGGTTGGTTAGAGTAAGCATTCACTAAATACTCACACTAAAATAATAATTTACCTTTGTGTGCAATAATGCTTGGTTTTTAGGTATTAATTTAACTAATACCCTGAGGCATATATAACTTTTTGTTTGCAATATTGTGTCTAGGACTAAACAGGGGAACAAGGGCAGGACTGTGACCTCCTGTGACCCTTCTGCACACTGTGTGATGTGTTTGGGACCTGTGAGCCTGTTCATGTGATTCCTGACCTGCAGGAGAGTCCTGGCAGTGATGAACCGGCTCAACTGACTCGGGTTTGAAAGAGAAGTGTCTTGTGCTGATTGAGAAAAAATCCCCTGAACTCTGCAGGAGCAGCTGCGGTGAGTGCCCATGAAGGTTGTGACCTTCCGGAACGCTGTTTCACATATCACTGTTGCGAAGGATGTGGTTCCGCAAATTTTTACCAAATGTTTATTTGGCAGAGTTGGTCAAATGAGGCAAACTTGTTTTTAAGGGACCTGTGTCCAAGTGGCCGCAGCAGAACTAATAAAGTGTCATTGTTCTGTATTTTTACAGATTCCGAAGGAACAACAGTTAAGTGTTTAGAATGAGGAGAGCTGACTTAACCAGTGTTTATTTAATAAATTCTTCTAACAGGTTACCAGTGACATACCCTTCTGAATAATTTTGTGTGTGTGGTCTTTTGAGATTCTGGTGAAACATTTTTGTTCTCTTAGGCTTTGCACAAATCACCCAGAAGTCAATATGTTATGGGAAAATTCATGAGTTTGAGAGGCCTACGTGAGGTTAAATTTACCATGTTAGTCATCCTAGAGAGAATCAAAGAAAAGCACAATGGTTTTCACTCCCAGTCACTCAGGGCATATGCACGTTGTTTTTAACCCAATACCTAGAAGGAATGGGATGAGGGAATTCTCCTCCTTTTCATTACCAGTTGGGGAAGCACTCCTGAATCATTAAGTCATGGGCCTAAACGTGAGGATGGTGGATGTTCCCCCGGGTCTTTTTCTCAATCAGAACTGCTCGGCTAAGATGAGGTCGATGCACTAGTGCACCAGCCTGCCATCTGCCCCAGGTATGAGCTGGGACCATGAGGTGGTGCTACTATTCTGGAAGCTGGAGAGATGGAGGATGGCATTGGAGCCGAAGTCCTGTGAAGGCTATGATGGAACTGGGTGGTGGCTTAAAATGATGGTGGATAAGTCCCTGAAAAGATAATGTATGCAGGAAAAATTGTAAGAGATTGTGGAAGATTTGGATCTTCAGAAAGATGGTTGTAGTGTTGGCTCAGCCATGTTCACGCTTCGTGAAAGAGCTTTGGATGCTGAGAAATAGGGCCATATAACCCCAGGAGGTAGAGGTTTTGAATTTGTGCAACGTCACAAGGCCAGGCATGAAGTAAGCTGGTGAAATAGGTTTCGTGAAGAATGAAAGTGTTCTTCTTGCTAGAGACTGGTGTTTGGTACCCCAGCGAGAGTCCCCATGACGTTGTCTTTTACTGGTCTCACACTAGGTATATACCTTGAACATGTGCACTGACTCCGCCAGGTACATTAAGAAATAAGAGTTTTTGTCTCCTCTTTATTGAACTACATGCCAAATTGTGTGAATAAACCATGAGGTGGGCGGGGTCTTCTTTCTGATTCCTATGACCATTGTGTGCCAAGGACACACCCAATATTTGTAACTTTAATATCTCTGTACATGAACTTTTGTATGCCATTAACCCCAAGATCTTTTATGTGTAATCCTGAGTTACCCACCGGACCCGGGTTTTGCAAAACGATAAAGGAGTTTGGGGGCAGTCTTGTGCAGGAGTATGAGCAGGCAAGTAACGCCAAACTTGGCTGCTTCACACAAATAGTAACAGTCCACCAAAGATG